ATCTCTTCCATCATTCATTATTCTGTTAATCCAGGTTCCAAGGACGGGTTGTTAAGGCATCGAGATGCTTGAACAGGAACGAAGATGCTTCAAATAAATATAAAATTACACCATTGACTTGTTTCCGCATTCGACTTTACGTCTCATTACCACATTGATCAGTCAAAACAGTAAAAAAAAAAATGAAGAAAAGAAAACCCATTACTTTGCACTTACGGAGTCGTCTTTTTCGACAATGAAATCCTTGACCCATTGTCTTCCTTGTAAGGGAAGGTCTCTGAAAAAAGTCGAACGGATGTGAGACTATGTCTGCAATTAGTCGTCTCCTCGGCTGAGCCTCATTGCTTCCTTTCCGTTTTGATTGAGACTCGGGAAATTTCATAGAATTTGCTTTCGATCAAAAACCTCCTTGCAGGATTACTGCCGTATTACCAATTCTGCACATCGCGATTCGTAGAAAATGTATAAATTATTGTATCCTAAGTTTAACCTTGGGTATTGACACATTTTGATATTAGTGGATTTATATTCTCGAAAGAAACCATTTTAGAGAACGTGTTATTGCTCGCTTGTTCAAAAACATATAGGATTTAGTGGAAAAAATTATTATCAAACATTAAGAGTAATACGAATTAAAAATTAATTTCACATAAATATAAAATGAAGGAATCGGTATAAACGGGTCTATTTCTACTAATTCAGTTTTCTGATACTTCAGTCAAATTATATACGTCAATTACAGTATTGAATAAATAATAAATTAAATAATGTAACCGAGTGAATCGTTTCCCTATCCTACTGCCAGAAATTGTTGCTGCAATTGGAGAGGGCCAAACTCAGAGGAGTGGTAGGACTACTAATCATGAGGTTCCCGAGTACTCGTCGTCACAAGACTAGAGGATCTTTAGCGTCCGCACCTGGCCTATTCGGGCTTGTCGGACGTTTTGATTCTCAAGATGAGAGCTGACGCACTCCGCATACGACAGAAGAGTGATACCGCCGCAACATTGGTGTAGAGGCGTCCCAGCCCCTAAGGGCCAAAACAACCTCGCTCTCCGCGTGTCCACTCCGAATGGTCGGGCCCGCATTGTGCATCGGCAAAGGGGCCGAAATACATCAGCCTGTTCTCCAGCGCACTCCCTATATAGAGAAAGCGACTCTATTTCCAGAGTATTGGGGCTTCCCATTGCGTAGAAACTACCGGATCCGCCCGGCCGCGGTTTTGTTTAAAGTGGAATTGCTAACCACACCCTAGATGAGCACCGCCTACGGTAAAACCTCCTGTCGAGCTCAGCCTACACCTGCCCGCGCATTCGAGGGATGCCATAGGCTCAGCCTAGGTGGTCCGATCCTTCGCTTCCCCAAGGGTACCACGCCGGTCATACCCATAACAATGCAAAGCATACTCGAGTCAGAGAAAACGATTCACTACCCGTTTCCATCCGCTTACTCACGTATTCGAGGGACTATTCAGCATAATCATCGCGTCCTCAACGCGTATACGCTGTCGTCTTGTCCACCGTATCCCGTGAGGCCGGGTGTAATAACGCTGGCCATACGCAAGCTTCACGAAGGTCACAAATAGAAGACCTCTGTCTAAGTTCCCACCAGGGGCGTCACCACGTACCACCACGAAACCATTCCCAGTGTAACTAGGGCCGATTTTGGAACTAACCATACACCCTCCCCCGTCTATGAAGACAGGATCTGGTGCACTGGCCCTCGTGTGACTCTACTAAGGCACCCGCCGCCCATGCCGACCCTAAGCCGACACGAGTGCAACTGGTGCTTTAGAGAGGTTGCCACGCCCTCTGGGCTATACCTTTATTTTGTGCCCGGATACCCCCCTTGCAACCAAGGGTTGGGAGGGGTGACAGGATAGAATGAAGGAACCCGGATTGAGATAAGGGCAGTGGATGAGAACTCCAGGTGAGCCGTTTCGGGGTCTCGAGCCTCAAACCACACTATACCACCCGTCGTCGCCGTAGTTCCACACATAATGGGCTACGGCTCCCAGGATGGGTCTACTAACCGGCCACTGGCATCTGAGAAAACCTCTACGCACATGGGTATATACAAAGATGATTCTATTTGCAGATTGTGTAATGAGGAGGAGGAAACAGCCACCCATATCATCTGCGAATGCGAAGCAATAGCTCAATGGAGATTTGACTTAACTTACGGAAAAAACTTAGGGAATCAAATTGCAGCCGCGACAGTCAATGACCTCATACTTCTAAGAAGAAGGATTGAATCTATTACATTGAACTAATGAACTAGGAAGGTACAATAATCCAAAAGGCTGCAGTGCCTGGGGAGCACAAACCCCGCTTCCTAGTATCCCTTTTCACCATACCATCCTATTGCCAACCTCTCTTTACGGAGCATCGTCGGTCAAGGAAAAAATATACATCTTATAAACACAGGCTTTAATTGTACAATAAAAATATACACTTAAAAAATAGACTGGTTAGCATTCATCCTTCCTAGAATACTCTATATTCCTAGGTGTAATTGGAGAAGACGCACTTCCGTTACATCCAATAACAATAACACTGCTGTACAGTACTCAATATACCTCTGGTTCCTCCTTCCACACAAATAAATTACATCCATTATATTTCGTGGTCCGATTGACCAAATAACTTCTTTCAATTGATTACTCTTTGTGTAAGGTATTGGTCGCAATGAAAAGGTTTGTGTCACGAGCGGGATTCGAACCCACGTCCTTCGGCCCAATACGCCTCTGCTCTAACCACCAAAAAATGGCAAAAAGGAGGGAAAATTCCAAAAGTAGGTTGAGATGAGAGTTGGTGTCCGATTGATCGAAGTCACGATAGCTCAAGTGGTAGAGCAGTGGGGTATTGAGCCGAAGGTCGTGGGTTCGAATCCCGCACGTGAACGAGGGAGCTCGTGACACTAACTTTTTTTTCATTTTAACCAATACCTTACATAAAGACTAATAAATTACATTCACTTAGTAGAAATAAGGACTGTTTATCATTGACACTATTTATCCAATCCAATAAATACTGTCGTATTATTTATAGCTTATACATGTGTGCCTGAGTGCTCGATATTCCACAGGGATCGAGATGTCTGTTCGCTCCATTTTCGCTAATCAATACTTACAATCACACTAATTCTCTGTGTAATTGTGGAGGAAGTCCCTCTATTCACGCTAATAAATTACATTCACACACAAAACTGTATTAACACTAATCCTCTGAGTCTTTCATTCTACACTAATTATTTACATTCACTTAGTACATCTAAAAACTGTTTTTCAGTCACCCTTTTCAATTCAAGTCAATAAATCCTCCATTCTTGCTAGTAAATACATTAGTTGTAAAAAATGTCAGAAATCAAACACATAAAGGTCTGTTGAACTGGCACTGATTCATTTTCTACGTCTTGTTTCAATAACAGGTTTTGATGCTACTCAAACCCGTGTCGGCTTTCCGCCATCTTCAGTGTGTCACTTTGTCTTGTTGTCCGTACGTTCCTTATATGGATCCTTATAGTGCCGATAGAGGCGGGGTGCATGAGTTTGTTTGCTGCACAATTGAGTGTTGTGGTCAAAAGCCCGAGAACGTTAAAAATAAATTCATTAGATTTCGTGGTCCGATTGACTAAATAACATCTTTCAATTAATTAATTTTTATGCAAGGTATTGAGATAAAAAAGTCAACGTCACGAGCGGGATTCGAACCCACGACCTTCGGTTGCCGCTGCACAATTGAGAGCCACGTGAGCTATCCTAACTTGTTCCACTCGGGTCTCGACACTAACTTCCCATCTCAATCCAACCTTTCGAATTTTCCCTCTTTTTGCCGTTTTTTTAATCTCAATCAAAACCTTACATAAAAAGAATAATTAATTGAAAGATGTACCTTTCATAAAGATTAATTAGTTAAAAATAACTTTCGTCATGTGTGCTTTAAAGCTTACTCAACGTACGAATGGTGTCATTTCGCGTAATGTTCGATCGCGTAAGGGAGTTCAATTTGTAAAATTGATAAGATGTGGAGTTCTCCATCACATTATTTGATTGAACGGTATATGTGCAAGAAATAAGGCATTTATTAATACTTTCTTCATTCTTAGACATACTATCAAACCTATGCCCGAATAACAAAAAACTAATCTTGCTACCAAATACTTAAACCGATATGGATTTTTCTGTATGAAAATATGAGGCTTAGGTAAACATCCAACTCCTATACATTCCAACCCTTCCCTTCTACATCCATCCTTTCTATATGTCCAATCTTACCTGCAACATGTCCTCAGCATCCATTACAATTTCCACTTTATAAAATCTATATAACAAATTCCACCTCTCGCTAACTGCTCATCCCATTCCCGTGATAACTCAGTTTTCTTTATCATCACTTACTAGTAGTCCTAAACGCCGACTTAACTGCCAGTTGTTCCGTGATCATATCTTAAGTGATAGCGAGCCTAAACTTACATCAGAGTGGAACTTCTGAGAGACATGTTTACGTTTAAAACTGATCTCGTCTTGGGATATCGATGGCACCGGAATCAAACCTCAGTGAGAAGAAAGGATGAAACTGAGATTTGACCCCGAGCAAAACCAAGGTGGATTCTCACGGCTTGTCATGTGACAACAACACTATTGTACTGTCGTTGTTTTTTCTTTTATATAAATTTGTACTCGTGGGAGAGGTACTATAGAAACTTTTTTCAATGGTTGTCTTTGTTTTCGTATAGATTATTGTCGTTCCAGATTGTTTTATCAGAGTCTAAAGTAAGACGTACCATCAAGCCCGCAAGGTAGGCGATTATTCCATCCAGTTGGGAAGGGGTCGGTAAAGGAAAAACTTTTGATTTATTAAGTCGCCCTCAGCGAATGAGGACGCATTGCGTGCGTTGGGCGAGATCAAGCCCGATTTTAAGTCTCCCTCCTCGGCCCTCTCGCTCCGTCTCTCATTTTCGTTCCGTCGGGGACCCTTCGCGGTGCTCAATCGGCATGAGATAATCATTAGATTCATGATCGCTTCGGGCCCGTAAATGAGTTTGTTTTTAATCAGTTGTAGTGGAAAATGGAGGGGAGCGGCGGATAGCTGTTGATCACGCATAATCATTTCCACTACATTCATCAAACCGAACCCGCGGAGAATGGGTCTTCTGAAGGTAAGCCCTTGAAATCAATTTCATTTTCCCAAGCTGAAAACAAAACAAACTTGCAAGTAGACTAAGCACTTAATTACCAACTAAACTCATAATTTGCGTAAAAAAAAAGATATGCACCAAACTAATCTGTCACATTTTACACGGAAAAGTCCTAACCAATCATTATCAACAGAATAATATTCATATTTACCAAAAGGCTAAATTAGAAATTTTACAATTATACAATGATTTGATTAAGCCCTTGAAATCAATTTCATTTTCTCAAGCTGAAAACAAAACAAACTTGCAAGTAGACTAAGCACTTAATTACCAACTAAACTCATAATTTGCGTTAAAATTAGAAATTTTACAATTATACAATGATTTGATTAATATATGAATAAGAATCATACTGTATTACAGTCAAAATATATATTCGTACTTAAAGATATCTTCCAACTTACATTTAACATGACACTATATTTACAAAAGTAATTAATACAAATAATGGTAGGTGAACCAACTAATTAAAAATAAATATTGATTTATTTTTAAATAATAAAGATTAACATATATAACACATGATATGAAGAGTAGAAGACGTGCCAACTAAAACAAAAAACCTTTATGCATGGTGCTGAACTCAAAACAAATAATTACATGAGGCAAAAATACATTTATTCATATAAAAATACTATTCATTGATAATGAAAGCCCTCAATTTCTATGCTTCATAACTAAAATAAAACACATCAATTGCCTTGTTTCTACTTTTTACAAATTTTAACAAAAACTCAAGTTTATTTTACTAGTTAGAATTTGAATGAATTTCTTTATCTTTGTAGCTTGCACAATTAGAAAAAAAATGTTCCAAGTTCTTTTCAAACAGATTACACATAGAGCATATTGATTGTGTGTCAATTACACATTTGACCCCATTTAAAAACTATTTTATTTCTTTACTATTTGACAGCCTTAGTTGTATAAGTAGTCTTTGCTTATTTATAGACAAATTCAACTCCAAATAAGTTTTGCATTTATACAAGGATCTACTTTTTCAACAAAAGTGGTTAAATTTTAAGTTTCACACCTTGTAATACAGATTATTTTTCCACTTCAACGAAATATTTTGTTTACCACGTTTACGACATTCAGGGTCGCAAAGGCACATTTTGTACAGATTTTTGCAATTGACAGAACACGTCCCTATGATTTACTTCATAATTATGTGCTGATGAATTGGCCTTACGTAAGACATCACGAAAGGATCTTCTGTAGCGAGGCGAACCATTATCCGTGCTCAATACTTTTATCCACAAATTTAACATTATTTTTAACATTTTGTTAGGTTTCTTGTTACGCTTGACCAAATAAATTCTTTTCAATTAATGAAGGTTTTGGTTATGATAAAAAAGTCAGTGTCACAAGCGGCATTCGAACCTTCGGCTAAATGCGCAGCTGTTCTATCACTTGAGCTATCATTCATGAGTTCATTCCACTAAAAAAATGACAAAAAAGTGTGGGGTTGAGATGGGAAGTTAGTGTCCGAGTGGATCGAAGTAACGATAGCTCCATTGTACGGTAATGCACTCAAGTTCTTTAACTATAGTTTTCGATAGATTTACACCAAAACCGTTAAGGGTGCATTATTCAGCAAGAATACATAGGGTAGAGATAATATTATATTATCTAGTCTTACCAAATTACTGTCACGATTTTGAAACGATTCAACGAAATCGGATAGAAACACTGAAAACAACAATGAAGACAACGATTCACCTTGTAAAACCCATTCATCATTGGTACGTTCTTGGACATAAATTTGATTTAGTTTTAACGTAACATTTCATATAAGTTTCTTATTATTCTTATTGGTCTACTGGTTACTCCTAACTTACCAGTGTGCTTTAAGAAAAGAACGGGGGATAAAATAGCTTTTAAAGGGTGCAGTATACACACCGACTAATATATCTATCATCTACTACTACCATGCTTGGTTTTTTCCTAAAGCAACCCATATCGAACACTATCGAATGCCTTTTGGAAATCGTCGAATATAGCAAACAACATTTTTTTTGCTGAATGTACTGAGTCCACAAATTTGTAAATATAAGCGAGATATCCAAGTACGATTATCCCATATAGAACCCCGCTTGCTCCTCGGGAATAACATTACGCATGTTGCAGAATGTAATTAGTCCTGATTTAGATATTGAGGTGAAAAGCTTGCTACAGAGGGTAAAGAGTTACCTTATGTAACAATGTCAAAACCACATCATGCGGTTTTGCGGTGTAGAGATTCGTTCTGTTATCATGATTTTATTGAGCTTATTTAATAAATTGTGTTCATCATCATCAGAATCATTTCTGTAGTCATCATCATCTTCAAAATCCAGCTAAAACAGTTGAATACCTTAATATAGGAATAGTAGATTATTACCTGTGTGGTGTTTGTTGAGCAGTTTTATGGTGTGTTTGTTTTTGACACATTTAGACAGAAAACAAACACTTTGGGCCCAGAAGATGATCTCAATAAAGATCGAAACGTTGACACGATAAAGAAAATATTTTTTTAAACCTACGTCACACCAGACCGCATCTCACGATCTCCAAATAATCATAGGTTATTACATGAATTCATCTTTGTTTGATGAAGGAAAACTAGTATTAATTTTTTCTTCATAGCATCAATAGTAAAATGAAAACTATTTAAAATAGAATTGACCAAAATCAATAAATTCATTGATTGCTGCATAAAAAAGCACTGTATTGGGTATTGAACGTGACGAAATTAAAATTTCATGGTGACCAACTTCGATTGTCATTAAAAATCTCAATGTTTTAAAATTAATAATAAAAAACTATAATATTTGAACTAAAACAGTTTGGTAATGTTTTATACGTTTAGCACCACCTTTGTTTGTTTAAATCGTTTTTATTAAATTAAAGCAATTGTTAGTTTTTAAATTCATAGTCGAAGGAAAAGTGAAACCGATCTATAATTTTTTTCATTTAAAACCCGTTCAGGATTTCTCTCTGGGCGTTAAACTATTGAAAAATATTAGCAAAGATGAGTCAGAATGATCTTGGTTCTAAAACGAGGGAAAAGAAGCGGCTGAGCACATCACGTGAGCCCTTAGACTATAAACGACTGGAATACAGGGGAAAAGCTTTCCCTTCAAACATGAGCGCGTATGTGCATCTTCTGATATTTTAGATTTATACAAAATATCCAACTTTATTAGGAAACTCTTTACCAAGGTGGTCTTTTCGGTTCGCAGCGACTGAACCTTAATATATAATTTTAAAGCTTTTTCTAATGCAATTCTATATCTGTCTAAATTTTCTGCAGTTTGATGACCGAAATATACAGCAAAAATGGGCGGACCAGATTCAACGTTTAAGTGTTATAAGTAGCCATAAAGAAACATATAAGTTTTTTATGGAGGAAATATATTCACGATATTATTTAAATTATTGAGATTGTTTCAATTTATACATGCCAGATCGATGTTCGAAAATATGAAAAATATAAAGTAACCAGCTTCCAACTTAGACTATAAGTAAGTGCACAAGCAATTATGTCGGGAAGTTTGTGCAAGTTCACGCACACGTGGGTCGTTTCTGATCATCCTGGTCTTCGTAGTCACGTCGTATGATCCGGTCCAACATGTCTCGTTATCAATGGGTTTATCTGTTATCTGCATGTTTCTTCAACGCCAAGCTTTTTGTTAGCTCTAAGTCAAATGAAGAAAGCCAGTTCAGTTGTATTAAATTTAAATTGATTTATAATTTTATGTAAAATGGGGTTGAGATGAATAACTAGGGTCATGAGTGGGAAGGTAGCTTGGGTTCGAGTTCGCCAAAGGTCTTGGGTTCGAGCCCTGCTCGTGACGCTAATTTTTCTTTTTAACCACACTTTACATAAAAATTATAAATCAATTTAATCATTACTTTGGCTAAATAGTACCAACTAAAAACATATGGATTTTGTTCAATAATTAACATATAAATACTTTTGTCTTATGCGAAATTTTCCCAATATGACAAGAAAAGATTTTTTAAACGACAGTCAACAGAATGCTTCTGATCACAAAAAGCAAATAAGAGTTGAAGCAATTCAATATGTCCAGAAACACATAGAATAGGAGGAGAAATATTTAGCAATAATTGCGATTATGATTATTGATTCAGATTGATTGTAGACGTCATGATCGATTGATCTTTAAAGTTTATAACATTATAATTATATTATATAATATGATGATTATAATTTGCATATTGTATTTTATGTGTGGTGATTAGTGACCGTTAGTCAAGGATTATTCGGAGATCGTGAGATGCGGTCTGGTGTGACGTAGATTTTAGAAAAACATTTTTTTTTTATCGTGCCAACTTTTCGATCTTTATTGAGATCATCTCTCAAGTGGCACTCTCTACACGACACTCAAGAATGGCACAATTACGCAGAAAACAAACACTTTGAGCCCTGAAGATGATCTCAATAAAGATAGAAACGTTGGCACGACAAAGAAAATGTTTTTCTAAAACCTACGTCACACCATACCGCATCTCACGATATGAAAATAATTATATTTTATGCATAGTTTAATTGTTAATAACAACTTTTCTCGTTGTTTTTTAATTTACTACTGCGTTAAATCTTACACAAATAAAATGAAAGCCAACGTCTAAAGTATAAATAGCAAAAACTTGCTCAATTGAAATTGAAGTTTTCCTATCAAGTTCAGTAAGGAAAGAAATTTTGATTTTGATTATTGGCATAATAGGCTTTGTTTGGCGGATCGGGTGCACTCTTTCTCATATGATGACATAAAATCATAATTATGTTATCCTCGGGTGTTTATAGAATCCGTGTAGGAAGAGCGAGGTAAGCCCGTTTGCAGGTGTAGATACTTGTGTAGATACTTTTACACAAGCGTGACTGAAGTTTTTGTCGGAAAGCCTCGTTTTTTCGGATGTGTTTTGTTTGGTTTTTAATGAGTAGGAAGTAGCGTGGG